CAAGGTAAGAGACGGTAGGAAGAGGGTCATTAACATGAACATCACACATGATGCAGAAGTGGAGAATAAAGATGACTTCTACAACCGCCTGCAGAACGTCATCGACAAACTTCCAGGTAAAGACGCCAACATTGTCATGGGAGATCTAAATGCAAAGGTAGGTTCGGACAATAGTCACAACGAGGAAATCATGGGCAGACACGGATTAAGAGAGGCAAATGACAACAGAGAAAGGTTCCAAAACTTCTGTACATTCAACAATTTGGTCATTGGAGGTACAATCTTCCCACATAAAAGGATACACAAGGCCCCGGACGGAACAACAGAAAACAAGACTGGCCACTTTTGCATCTCCCGAAAGTTTAGACGCTCACTGGAGGACGTCCGAGTCTTACGAGGAGCAGACGTCGCATCAGACCACCATATTTTGATCCTTGGAAAGATGAAACTAAAACTGAGAAGATATGCACAAGTCACAGCTGGAAATCGTCTAAAGTATGAAGTGAGCCTTCTGAAAGACCCAGTAAAGAAGAATGAGTTCAAGTTGGAACTGAAGAACAGATTTCAAGCCCTTCCTTCAAGATCTGGATGAATGTGAAGTCAATGAACACTGGGATAAGATAAGAGAGGAAGTAAATGCAACTTGCCAGAGCACCCCAGGACCCAAAGACAACACCAGGAATGAATGCACTTCACAAGACTCTCTAGACAAAGTCAAAAGAGGAAGAGAGCTGAAGGCCCAACTCAACAACAGCCGTACCCGAACTGAGAAACTCGCTGCACAACAAGAGTACACCGAAGTAAACCGGGAGGTAAAGAATTCCATCAAGAAAGACAAGAATACCTAACTGAATGGCCTTGCCGAAAAGGCTGAGAAAGCAGCAACAGACGGGCACTTACGGATTGTACACAAGACTACAAGGTAAGTTCAGCAAGCCCACTCTACCAGTGAAAGACAAAGAGGGAAAGACTATCTTCAACCCAGAGGGGCAACTTAACCGATGGAGAGAACACTTTGATCAACTATTGAACAGACCAGAAAACCAACCAGAAATTCTTCCAGCCAGAAATGACCTCCCAATAGTCACGGAATCACCTTCAAAAGAGGAAATTGCAGCCGCTATAAAAACGCTGAAGTCCCACAAGGCAGCTGGTCCCGACCATATACCACCGGAAGCCCTTAAGGCAGAGAAAGATAGGTTTGTGGAAATTCTCTATGCTCTGATTGAAAAGGTTTGGCAAAAGGAGGAAATACCATCAGACTGGAAGCACTTAATGAAGCTGCCAACGAAAGGAGATCTCAGCAATTGTAACAACTACAGAGGCATTACACTCCTGTCCATACCTGAGAAAGTCTTCAACAGGATACTCCTGGAGAGAATCAAGCTGTCAACAGATGAGAAGCTTCGAGGAAACCAGGCAGGATTCCGCAAAAACCGATCATGTGTGGACCAGATCGCTACTCTGCGTATCATTGTTGAGCAATCGCTTGAATGGAACTCTCCACTCGTGGTCAACTTCATTGACTATGAAAAGGCGTTTGACAGCGTGGACAGGGAAACTCTGTGGAATCTCATGCGGCATTTTGGAATACCTGAGAAAATCGTCAAGCTTGTGAAGGCCACCTATGATGGAACAAACTGCCAAGTCTTCCACGAAGGACTCTCAGAACCATTCCAGGCACAGACAGGAGTGCGACAAGGATGCTTGCTTCCTCTTCATACTGGCAATTGACTGGGTCATGAAAGAAGCCACCAGAGGCAAACGTAATGGAAGACAAAGGATCCCTTGGCAGCAGCTGGACGACTTAGACTTCGCCGATGACCTTGCGCTGCTCTTCACACACATGCTCAGATGCAAGAAAAGACCAAGGAACTCAACATGCTATCAAGGAGTGTTTGGCCTACGTATACATCCAGGCAAGTCAAAAGCAGTGAAGCTAGGAAAAGTTTCAAGCCCTACTGTGACAGTGGAAGACACTTCCCTGGAAGAAGTGGACTCCTTTACCTACCTTGGAAGTGTCATCGGTAGAACCGAGGCAGACGTTAAAGCAAGAACCGCCAAGGCAAGGTCAGCCTTCAAGCAATTATCAAAAGTCTGGAAAGCAAGCAACATCTCGCTGCGCACCAAGATTCGACTCTTAACTCCACGTCAAGTCTGTGCTCCTCTACGGCTGCGAAACTTGGAAGACAACGAAAACAGTACTGAATAAAGTCCAGACTTTTATCAACAGATGTATGAGGAGTATTCTAAGAATTAAGTGGCAGGATAGAATAAGAAATGAAGAACTGTGGGAAAGGACAGGACAAAAGGATATAGAAGTAGAAATAGGACTAAGAAAGTGGCGATGGATGGGACACACCTTAAGAAAGCCCAGCGGAAACATTACAAGACTGCAGTGGAACCCACAAGGAGCACGAGGCAGGGGTAGGCCACGGGAAACATGGAGGAGATGCGCGGAAAGGGACATGAGAGAAATGAAGCTCACTTGGAACGAGCTTGGAAGGATGGCTCAGGACAGAGATAAATGGAAAGAGCTTGTATGTGACCTATACCCTGCCAGGGGTGAAAGGCATTGATGATGATGATGAAATACTAATAAAGTTTTCGTCTTTAAGCCCAAACCTGGTGATTATTTCGTTTTTTATTTGGGTGTTGTCAATCCTCAATGCTCCTTTTTGCCGGTGAGGATGATTGTATAACTATTGTACTGAAGTTGGGTCAGCTCCACTCTGTCGGTGTACGGCAGAGAAGTCTGTATCATATCTGAATCCATCCTTGCGAATAAACATGTTTAGTACATTTGGCGACGAGGATAAAACTAATGGAAATTCAAGGAGTTCATTTGACTAAGGTATTTTATTCGGTGAAGTGAATTTTGTGTAATATTTTGAAATTGATCTTGTACGAGGGCTGTCCCACGGAAAACCGGAAAAGGT